AGGAGGCCGAGGACCGGCTGAAGGAGCACGTGGACAGCGTCCTGGCCAGGAGGTGAGGTGCCCGCGGCCCATGCAGCGTGTCCCCAGCGTTGCCTCGTGCCCCGCGGCCCAGGAACGGGTTGCTCTGTGGCAGAGCCCTGCTCTCGCCGTTGAGCCTTGCTAGCAGGTGCTCCCACGTGGTCTCCTCTAGCGCCAAGACACGCCAGGCAGCCCTGCAGAGTCTGCGCCTGGCCTTCTCCTCGCGAACCCTCTCCGAGTTCCTGCTTGAGCGGCGCCTCACACTCACCGACTCGCTGGAGAAGTGCCTTAAGAAAGGTGCGGGTGCAGGCGGGTGCCGTGGTGGGGGCCGCGAGCGTGGGAGGTGCTGGTGGAACAAGGGAGCAGCCCCGGGGGCCCCCATCGTGGCCGGGAGGGTCAGCGGTGCTGGCCTGGGCTGATCACCGAGGGAGGTCTCTTGTGCTGCCTGCAGGTAAAGGGGAGGAGCAGGCACTGGCGGGCCCCGTCCTCACCCTCCTCTGCCTCCAGATGGGCTCTGGCCCCGAGGGCGAAGCAGTGTTTCGCAGCCTGAAGCCCCTGCTCGTCAGCATCCTGATAGACAGCACGGCCAGCAGCGCCGCCCGGCAGAGCGTAAGGCTGCTTTTCCTTGCTTGGGGACTGGGGGACACTGGCCTCAGCTGGTGCTGGGACACCTATGGCTCCAGAGGGGTGGCTGAACTGGGGCAGGGGCAGAAGCTCTGAGTCTGCCCAGAGTAGGGAGCTGTGAGTAAAGGGCCAGGAGCTCTAGGCAGGGCACCGCAAAGCTACCCCTTCGCCAGGCCTCAGGGAAGAGTGCTGATGCCTGCGGACGAGCGCTGAAGCTGCACGGGGTCCTCATTTGGTGCTGGGACACCTATGGCTCCAGAGGGGTGGCTGAACTGGGGCAGGGGCAGAAGCTCTGAGTCTGCCCAGAGTAGGGAGCTGTGAGTAAAGGGCCAGGAGCTCTAGGCAGGGCACCGCAAAGCTACCCCTTCGCCAGGCCTCAGGGAAGAGTGCTGATGCCTGCGGACGAGCGCTGAAGCTGCACGGGGTCCTCATTGCCTTTTTCCTGCGTCTCTCCCCAGTGTGCCGCAGCCCTGGGCATGTGCTGCTACGTCGCTGCTGCCGATCTGGAGGTAACCGCGCGGGGCTGCTGCCTGCCCCGGCAGCCGCTCATTCCCTGCGGGGTCCCCCCGGGTTTGCCGTGCTGCCTCTGTGCAGCCCGCGGGGTCACCTGGCAGCCCCATGGCAGAGTTCGGGGGGCAAAGGCAGAGCCGGTGGGATTGGCCCCATTGGGCTGTGACAGGTGCCGCTGTGCCTCTTTTTTGGGCAGTGTGCTGCTTGGCAGGGCAGGGAGCCTGCGGTGCAGATTGGTGGCAGCCGGACTGAGGAGCCCTTCATTCCCCTGGGGCTCCTTGTGGCAGCATGGACCCCAGGACCCGCTGCGCCCTCACCTGTCACATCTTCCGTGTACAGGGTGTGAATTTGTCTTGGCGTTTTTCTGGCTCTTGTGCTTTGATGGGGGTTTGTTTCCTTTTGCAGGACCTGGTGTCGTGTCTGACCTGCTTAGAGGGCATCTTCGGTGCCCCTGGCATGGGCGATGGCAGCTCCGCGCCCCTGCAGCATGGCCCTCTGCACTGCAGTGCCCTCCAGTCATGGTCCCTGCTCCTCACCATCTGTCCCACCTCCCACATCAGGAGTATTTTGGACAAGTGAGTGAACCTGGTACCGCTGGGCACCGGCAGTCGTGAACACCAGCACGAGGGCGTTTGGGGCCTGGTGTGTGTGTGGCATTGGGCCAGCTGGATCTGGTGCAGGGACACGAGAGGAGAGAAAAGGCCCCAGGAAGCAGCAGGCCTGACTGCTCGTTGGGGCTAATTCCCCTGTGCCTTCCTGCTGCAGGCACTGGCTCAAGCTGCCCTTGCTGCTGTCCAGCAACAGCATCGCCCTGCGCATCGTGGCTGGAGAAACCATTGCGCTGCTCTTTGAGCTTGCCCAGGACACGGAGGTAGGATTGGGCACTGCTGGGCAGGAGGTGGGTGCTCCTGGAACTGGAATCTGCTGGGGTCTTGCCGGCTGCCTGTGCTGCGGACCGGGCTGGCACTCGGTTGGCATGAGAAGGCATGGCTGGTTGGGTATCAGGATGCTCCAAGCTGGAGTCCCCAGCTCGTGCTTGAGAGGAGAGTTTGGCCTAGGTTATCCCACCATCCTCTCCTGGGATTGCCAAGAGCCTTGTCCACTCCAAACCACTTTCCTGGCAGGAGGACTTGGGCCACCAAGACACTGAGTTCCTATGTGCCCAGCTTAAAGTTCTGGCCACTGAGAGCAACAAGTATCGGGCCAAGACAGACCGGCGGAAGCAGCGCTCCATTTTCCGGGACATCCTGCGCTTCATTGAGGTGCCTGAGGCTGGGAAGGGCTGGCCGTGCTGCCGGGTCTCAGGAGAGGGTGGGAGCTGCACCCTGAGTGTTGGCTGGTGCCCAGGTGCCTCTTGATGCTCCCCTCTCTACCCAGAGCGGGGAGTATCAGGAGGAGACCATCCGCTTTGGCCTGGAGTGTGTCTACGTAGACAGCTGGGTGCGTCGGCGAACGTACCAAGCCTTCAAGGAGGTGCTGGGCTCTGGCATCCGCCACCACCTCCAGGTGGGTGCCAGGCGTCAGCACTGAGCAGGTGACAAGGCACTGCCAGGAGGTGCTGACAAACGTCTTGGCCCTCAGAACAACGAGCTGCTACGGGAGATCTTTGGCCTTGGCCCCCCCTTGGTGCTGGATGCCGCTACTCTGAAAGCCAGCAAGGTCTCCCGCTTTGAGAAGGTGGGTGCCCGTCACGCCGGGTGCTGGGGAGGGCAGGGGACAGCACCTGCGGTGCCAGGGACGAGCTTTGCGTGGAGAGGACAGTGCTGGGCTCTGCCTCTTCACCTCCAGGTGTTGGGCTGGGAAGGCCCCATGCCCCTGCCCGTTTCTGGAGGGCCTGACTCCTGCGGTGCTGCCTTTGCATCCCAGTGCCCACCCCAATAGGAGGGTCTAGCCTGGCACCCACCTGTGGCTGCCCTGCAACCTGGAGCTGGCACCAAGGGGCTGCTGGGCACCTGGTCGCTCTCTAACCCGTCTCTTCTTCCTTCCCCTCCCAGCACCTCTACAATTCAGCTGCCTTCAAAGCCCGCACGAAAGCCCGGAGCCGGGTACGGGACAAGCGGGCGGACGTGCTGTGACGGGCAGAGCGGGGCAGTGCCCCCTGGCCCGTGTGGACTGCAGACCCACCACTGTGAGGGGCCAGTGCCCCTGGCCCTTGGGCTTTTACACATGTACAGCAGAGTATTTAATGCCTGGTGCTGCCCCGCTGGGGGTTGCCCCCTCTTTTATTTTTTTAACCAAAAACAAGAAGGAAAGAAAGGATAAAAAAAAAGGAGTCAGGGGAGAGGAGAGGTGGGTTGTGCTGCTGGGAGCCTGTTCCGTGCCAAGGGGCATTACTGCTCCACAGGGCACAACAGGAGAGGGTGGCCCAGGGATCTTTCAGGTTGGGGAGGGGGGAGGTTTGTGCCGCCCTCCCTAGCCCTACGTGCGTGTAGGGGTTGCCCATGGGGCCAGGAGAGCCGCCTGGGGAGAGCCCTGCTGCGAGGCTTCCTTGGGGCAGGATGGAGCTGGCAGAGGGGAGAGTTGCCCAGGCTGCCCCAGGCGGGCAGTGAGGGCTGCGTCGCCAGGCAGCACTGGGGGCAGCAGGGCTGGCGCAGCCCTTCGTCCCCACCGCAGTGCCCGCACTGCCGTAGCAGCCGGTGACAACCCCAGCACCCAAGCGTGGGGGCTGGGATTTTCCTGGGTGCTGGTGGGCACTGCCCAGCCCTACCAAAGACCTGCTCCACCCTTTTTCTAGCCCAGCACTTTTGTGGAAAGCAGCCCTTTTTGTGGGCAACAAATTCGGGGTAGGCAGCGGGCACCTGCCTGGGGTGCCTCCTTAGGGAGCCAGGCTGGGCAGGGCGGCTCAGGGCACCGGGCGACCGAGGG